GGGCGCTCGTTCCGGCAGGTCCTTAAGTTCACCCGGGTTCTGACCCTAGGACGCGGCCACCGCTAGCTCGGGTTCCACCCCCGCAGCGGGATATCAGCTTGACCCGCTTTTGCTCCAGGACACGCCCCCGGGCACGCCCCCTGAGCTCGAGGCCCTAGTGCAAGTTTGACTCTACTCCTCAGACAGCTTCCGGTTCCCCAATATTACGCTGCCCGCTGGCGTCCTGTTTTCAAGGCCCGATCCATTGGCATCTGCGTGCAGAGCCTATTCCCAGGGGACTCGTTAACTTTTGCAGCAGGTTCCGCTAATGTTATCTCGCTTGTCCCTGGGAGCACCCTTCTGCAACAGTGAGACACCAAGTATCTCCGCCCAGAGGGGAAACCCCAAGCACTTTGCCTGGCCCATCGTTAAATGCCATATACACATGAGCATCGAGACGGCTGGCCCGTCGGCCTACACGGTTGGCTGCTGCGAGTGAGCCGGCTCAGGGCTGTGCTCTCGACTTTTACACCTTTGAGGTTGCGGGTTAGTATTCTGCCTCTCCTCCCAGAACAGGGTATGGAAGCATTGGTGCAGCAGGCATAGACCTTTACATCACCCTTTCCCCGCAGTCATTCCCTTGTCACCGAAATGTGAAACTAATGCAGGCCCTCTGATCCTTTACTGCCAGCCTCTAACATGGTCTCTGGCCCTAGTGGCCTCCCAACACTAGCAACAGGTTTAACCTCTACTGATCTAAGACCTGGATGGAGTTAATGGTGCCCCTGTGAAGATTCTGAAACAGTTCCATCCCACCAGCCAAGGGGCCCAACTGGTCTCTGAATTGGGACCCCTGTCTTCACCACCTGTTTCCATCGACATCCTAAGACCACACACTCTCAAATGACGGTATGCATATTCACTCAACTCTGTTACCAATGTCCAGCCTGACATGACCAGCAACGTATGTTCTGTGTTTGCTGAAAGAAGGCAAATGTTTGGCCAGCTTGACAAAAAATTTATTAGTTCAGAATAGAAACAGCAAGAGTCCAATTGCTTTAATTCTTCAGTAGAAACTGCCTCTTAACTGGAGAGGTTCCAGCCACTTCTTCAAACTCTTCTTCTCCACTCTCCAAACAATCTGCCCCACTCTTAAGGCACTTAAGAAAGGGGGGAGCAGGGAAGTCTCAGACCAAACTCCCTCAGGATCCAGGAGAGGGCGAGTACTATGCCATTGGTTCCCTTCAGCCACTGCTGAGCAAGGAAAGAGCTGGCAGAGACCTCTGCAGGGCAGGAATGCCAGTCCCTCAAGTGCTGGTGTTAGGCAGCGCCACCGAGGGTTTGGTGATGGAACATTATTTTGGATCAAAGTGTAAATTAATCCTTTATGTGAGGAAGACACTGAAAATAAGGCTTTGTGGCCTCAAGGGCCATAGCTCCAGCCTGCTCCTCTCTCTAGGAGAGTGCTAGAAGTTGGAGCATGGGGATGGGGTCCTCCCAGAGTTCCCTACAAAGGGAGATGACCATTAGGATGGGGAAGAGTTATTCCCAGTTCCCCCATTTCCAGAGAAGTTAATGCTTCTGCTTAAGCACCTCCAAAAAGAGATAGATAGAAACTGCCAATGAAAGAATAAAATGTGCCCCCAAAAAGGCATTACCCAAAGGTATTGGGGGCAGCTGGAGCACACCCCCCAGAATCCATAAGTGCTTTGGGAGGGCTTCAATCCCCTGCAACCTGGTGCTCTGGGCAGGGCTGATATCACCCCCTTAGGAGCTGATCTGACTCAGAAGGGCTGAGAAGTCCATGTCCACAATGGAGGAGAAGTCTTCATCCCCAGTGAGGCCATTGGGGAGCCCGGAGTTTCCCAGGGAGGTGGGAGCTGGGTCAGGGGGCCTCTGGGAACCTGTCACCAGGCGAGTGATGGCCTCAGGGTACTCCATTAGCATAGGCTCAGCTGTGGGGTGGGGCATGGATACACCCTGGTTCAGCAGCTGCTGAAACTCCGAGTTGTCGACTGACGCCAGGTCTGTGAATACGGCTGGGTCTGTGCTGTTGCCAAGCAGGGCCCCCAGATCTTCATCAGCATCGAACTGCAAGTGCAGCAGGGCCTCCGACAGTGTGCTTTCCCCGGCCTGGGTGGTCTTTGAGGCTGGTGGGGCCACAGCCTGGGGAGGGCCTGGGGCTAGGACTGGGCCAGGGGCTGGGGCCTGGGCCTGGGTCTGGGCCAGAGGTGGTGGCATGGATGGGGCTGGGACCAAGGCCTGGGCCAAGACTGGGGCAGAGGCTGGTGCCAAGGCAGAGGCCTGGCTTGAGATCTGCCCAGAAGGTAACATCATGGGGGGAAACTCATCGAAGTTGATGGTGCTGAGGGATGGTGTAAAGGTGTAGGTCTGGGGAGCTGCAGGAGAGACAGAAAGGCTGAGGTCACAGAAAGCCCTAGAAAGACCCACCCTATTCTCTGTTCCTGAGCCACTCTTGATAGTGCTTAGGACCAGCCCTTCCCTTTTTGTTTTATATTTTGAGACAGACAGGGTCTCACTAAGTTGACCAGACTGGCCTTAAACTTGTGATCCTCCTGAGTAGCTGGGATTACAGGCGTGCCGCACTACACCCAACTCCTGGCTCCCTCCCTGTAACCAATGTGACTTGGTCAACAGGGTCCAGTTCTAGCCACACTGCCTCCTTGGACACCCCCCGCCCCAAATCTTAGAGCCCACAAAGGGCTCTCACCTCTGACCTCACCGTACAGCTCAAAAACCAGTTGAGGGGAGATGAGCCTTTGGAGGACCCAGTGAGCAGTGGCCTGAAGTGGGCACTTATCGCTTTTTTGTTGTTGTTTTGCTTTTTGGTACCAGGGATTAAACTCAGGGCACTTACAACTGAGCCATATCCCCATCCCTTTTATGTATTTTCATTTAGAGACAAAGTCTCACGAAGTTGCTTAGAGACTCAATAAATTGCTGAGGCTAGCTTTGAACTTGAGATCCTCCTGCCTCAGCCTCCTGAGGGGATTACAGGCCTGTATCACTGTCTGGCTACTTATCACTTTTTTTAAGCCACATACCAACACTTCTTGGTGAGGTGCCACACACCTCTTACTACTTTAGAGGTGCTTTTTGTTTTTTGTTTTTTCTTCCCTAATTCAATTGAGAGTTTGGGCAGAGATCATCCATTTTGATTATTGTTTTGGTACTAGGGATTGAATAGAGGGGTGCTTAATCACTTAAGCCACATGCCCAGCCCTTTTTTATTTTGAGATAAGGCCTCACTAAGTTGCTTGTGACTGTCCTGTGACTGTCCTTGTTCCTCCTGCCTCAGCCTCCTGAGTTGCTGGGATTACAGGTGTGTACCACCACACCCGGTTTGAGATCATACATTTTCATGTCTGTTTCCCAAGATATCTAACTCAGGGCTTAACTGATGCAGTGGTTCTCAGCCTTCCCTGTATATTAGCGTCCCCAGGAAGCTGCTGCTTCCTGAGCCACACTTCCACAGCAGTCTGTAATGAGTGGGGTAGGAATCCATGTCTCCACTGCTCCCTGGATGAGCCTGACAGAGATCACCAAGCCACATCCCTGAGAAGCATGGGCCTCACAGAGAGCAGGCCTCAGACACCTGCTGGTGCCTATGTTCATCTCCTTTCTAGGCGTCCCAAATGTAGCCTGAGCACAGTTGAACCCATTGTTCCAAGGACACTAGAGGAAGTCCTTACCTGACTTAGAGATGGAAGTTGAGGTGCGGGAAGGCACGGCAATACGCCGGGGTGGAGGCCGGGGATCAGTGGGTCCTGAAGGGCAAGGGCTGAGTCAGTTCAGTCTCTGGGATATCCCCTCCCCAATTCCTAGGGCCTCTCTCCCTGCCCATTCCCCATCTCACCACTGAAAGGACTCTTCTTCATGATGCTCTTGAATGTCTCATATGTCCTTTTGCGTTTCTCCTCAATACGATGACGATCATCTGGAAAAGCAATGGGGAGTGGGCCTTGTTCTCAGCTGGCCTCCAGTGGCCCCAAAAGCCCCTCAGGAAGAAGGGGAAGGGTCAGGCTTTCCTGAGACTGGTCTCCCAACCAGTGAAGAGGGAGGTGGGACACCCACACAGCAGTTCTAAGACTCTCCCCCTTTTTTTTTTTTTTTAAGATTTATTTTTTAGTTACATGTGGACACAATATCCCCATCTTATTTTCATGTGGTGCTTAGGATCGAACCCAGTGCCTCACACATACTAGGCAAGGGCTCCATTTCTCAGCCACAACCTCAGCCCTCTCCCAGCTTTTGAGAAGACTCTGTTGGCTGAATCTGTCCTTCAGAGGCCCTGGATGATGCCATATGAAGGGGCCCTGCTCTGGGGAGAGCAGCCCTCAGGGGGGCCAAGCCTCCAGGTCATCCCTCACCTGACTGCTCACCTCCCAGCCTCCAGGCAAGTCCAGAGAGGAGCTCTCTGCACTAAGGCCAAACAGGCCTATTTAAGACTTCCAGTCTCCTCATCTCTAGTGGTTTGGCACATTAGCCTGGAGCTTTCAGAACTATCTTCCACCTCAAGTGTCCTCAACCCAGAGCCAACTTCATGACCTTTCCTCCTGGGTCCCTGGCCATCCTTCTGCTAGGTCACCAAAGCTAGAAACCTTGGAGTTATCCCTACCATCATCTTTCTCCCCCTCCCACTTACTAACTCGACACATATCTACCAAGCACTTAATGTGTGCCGGCCTCCCTCCAAGCCACTGGACATATGGCTGTGAGTAACATGCAAGGGTCCTGCTCCTAAAAACATGGTCTCTTGGGCTGGGATTATGGCTCAGCGGTAGAGCGTTCACCTAGCATGCGTGGGGCCCTGGGTTCGATCCTCAGCACCATATAAAAATAAATGAATGGAACAAAGGTATTGTGTCCAACTAAAACTAACTAACTAAATAAATAAATATTTTTAAAAAATGGTATCTTGGTGATAGAGGGACACGGACACAACCATACACAAGATCTCAAATGTGCCAGGAACTTTGAGGAAGCTCATGTCCGAGAATAAGGTGACAGAACAGCACCATAATGGAGGTGAGAGTCAGATTAGAGGTCATCAGGGAAGGACTGGTGTGAGCCAAGCATTCCAAGGCAATAGCCAGGACACAGGTCCTGAGGTGAACTGAGCCTGGTGTGTGTCACGCACTAAATGGCAGCGAGGCTGAAAGACAGCCAAGCAGGACAGCAATGGGAGGTGTGATCATCTTGCTCCTTCCTTTTTGCAAGGGCCATGCCCCACATCTCCTCTTCTTACTCTATAGCAACATCTTCCCAAATGGCCTCCGCACCGTGAGTCCCTTCCTCTCTGATCCTCTGACTGCAGCAGAACAAACCTCCAATTCTCCTGAGAAGACCTTGGAGGCTCCCCACTGCTTCCAGGATGAAACCCTGTACTCGGCCTGAGAAGCAATTGCATCTAGGTTTGCCCACGGCATGGTCAGCTCCCAACACAAAAATGCTCCTGATTTGGCCATGTCCTTGCCTACACCCCTGCCTTCCAATGATGGCCCACAGGCCTAAAGAATATGCTTCTGGATCTTTCTCCAAGGTAAATGCTACCACCTCCAGGCACCTGTCTCCAGCTCCCTGTGCCTGCACTCCAGGGCACTCTGCACACATCTCAGTTTCACACATCATTCTGTGATGTAATGATGTGTTCTGTGTGTCCATCTTCCTCATGTGACTGAGCTTATGAAGGACAGAGAACCCGCTTGTTCATCTTTGCATTCACAACACCAGGCATGGGTCCTGCTACCAAGTGGGCGCTCAAAGCCTTGACCAAAATGTGGCTGGGCTCTATGGCAGTGACAAGGAACACACGTCTACAACAGGACGTGGAGCCAGGTGGCCTAGGGTCAGATGCTGACCAGATATGTCCCTGCCCTCAAAAGACTGGCAAGAGATTAAAATCAGATAATGCTGAAATGTTTGGAATAGGGGCAGACTAGTATGTGCTCAAAAGTCTTGGCTACCATTTTTAAATGAGGCAAGAGAAAGATTCTGATTAGTTGTATTTCTCTCAACAATGGGACATATTCTGAGAAATGCATCGTTAGGCGATTTCAGATTTCGTCATTAGGTGATTTCATCATTAGGTAAATGTCATTGTGTATGCTTATAAAAACTAAGATGATACTACATCACTAGACAATATAGGCTTATGGGACACCCATCATATATCAGTTTGCCCTTGACTGAAATGTTACACAACAGTGACTATACTGCATAAACCCAAGTTCCACCCCAGACATCCAGCCCTGGCTTTTCTTTTTAGAGCCCAGCAGCCCTGCTGCCACCCTCCCTGGCTGCGTACCTGTGTCTGGCAGGTACTGGAACTCCATGGGCTCACTGAGCTCCCGGTCAGAAGGCCGACGCAGCTGCATGGAGACACGCACAGGAGCCTGCAGGCTGGGGTCCGCATAGGGAGGGGTCCGGAATACAATGGCCACTTGCCTGTGCACGTCAGCTTGAGAAAAGGAGCCTCGGGCCTCCCAGCCTGGTCCCGTGAAATACACCTCAATGTCCTCTGTGGGAGATGGGTGGGGGTGTCATCAGTGTCTAACCTGCTCAAGTCTGCAGGTCCTAACTTCTGATGCTTGTCTCCTGGCCCATCCCAGGCCTGAGTGTTTAAAGTCAGGTACCTGGCACCACACCTTCTCAGCCTTGCCCTCACCCCTCACTCCAAACAGTCCAGCCTGCCCCTGGAGAGTACCTTTCTGCACCTTGTCACACAACAAGAAGATCTCATCCCCACCAAGGCAGCTCCCGGAGTTTCGGTTCACTCGGCAGATTTTGAGCTCAGCAGTGTTGGGGGCACCTGAGAGCGTGACAATAAGGAAGGAAGCCCTGAACCACCAGAGGTCCCCAGGGTGGCCTGCAGGAGATGCAACATCCCTGCCCTTCCCTGCCTGCCCAGTGTCAAGGTAACCCACAGTTTGCCAATCACACTTGTGTAGCCAAACTTAGACCATTCCTGTTGGCTCCTTACACCAACCAATCCAGCAGCTCTTTACCAGCTGTGTGCTCAACACTGCTCTGGACAAGGAGAATCCAATAACACATGACACCTTAACATCTCCGCCCCCACAGAGCTGTGGCCCAATGGGAACCAATTTGGTCATACCTTCTCTTTCTCCACCTGGCAATGAGCCCTTCCCTCCTGACTCCCAGTTTACTCTGGTTCCCCATTCTTGGGGCTCCAGAGTCCTTTCGTTTTCATTCATCCTGCTGGTTAAAGATGGCAACTGATCAACATCAGCCCATGTCATCTGTTAGCTTCTGGTAAGCTGCCCTCATTGAATTCTCACTGTCTAGCATTATCTTGTTCCTGTGAGTTGATGTTCCAGAATCATTAGTTCTGGGCACATTAACTCTCCCCTCACATGATATGGAAAGTGCCCATTTCCCATCAGACTTGCGACCAGTCTGGAAGCTACACCTTAAGGGCAGCTCAGTTGGGCACTGAGGAAATGACGAGTACACTAGAGGCCTGAATAAAGCCAGAGACCCTCTTGGAGGCCACACCCGCCACAGCCTGGTCCATCCCTCTTCCCTTTCTGTGGCATCCTAGCCACTCACGGTTGTCAAAGATCGGATGAGAGAGGACAGGCGGTAGGCAGAGAGGCCTCCCTGATGGGTCTCGCACTGTCACCTGGAAGCAGAGCCGCACAGCATTCAGGTCATAGTCCCCACGCTGCTCTTCTATGGGAACTGCCAGAAAAACAGTTGGTCAGGAAAGTTGGGGGGGGAGGGCGCATGACACGGGATGAGGGAGGGCAGGCAGCTCTGTACTGAGGGTGCCCTTTGAAGGCATGTGATACAGAAGTCCCAGGGAAGAAACAAGCCAAGGTCCCAGACCCATCACTGATTTCACAATGACTAGATGCCATGTTCCCTTTCTGGGCCTCAGTTTCCAGGTGGTAAAATGGGAGTATGTAATGAATGGGCAGCAAGATTCCATCCACACTATGAGTTTGGGCCAATGAGGGAGACACAGGGCAGGGGCCTGGTGCGGGTGAGAGGGTATGGTGCCACTGGCAGGCTCAGGTCTTCGCCCCTCCCCCCTCACCTTGGAAGGGGTTGTTGTTGGTCTGGATGCGCTGGCTGATCGCCTGCTCCAGGTCCCGCTTCTTCACACACTGGATCCCCAGGTTCTGGAAGCTAAGGTGTCCCCCCAGGCATCAGTTCTGGGTCTCCACCTTGCTCCCTTGTCCAGTTTACCCCTTCTTCCCTCCAAAACCCAAGCCCCCAGATGACTGCTGTGCTTCACCCCCTGCAATGGCTTCCCGTTATGCTGCAGTGAAAGCTACACCTACCTCAGCCAAGGAGCCCCTGTGGGTAGGGAGCCCTCAGCCCAGGAGCTTCCTTTCTATCCTCCACACACACTAAACTCACTCCTCCTCCTCCAAGGCTACTGCACTTGTTTTTTCTGCTTGGAATGTTTCTTCATGCTTCTCTGCTTTCTTCTCTTCATGCTTTCTCACCATTTAAGTCTTAGCAGAGAGAGGCTTTCCCTGACCTCTCAGTCCAAAATAATGAAACCAGATCTCCTGCCTCCCCCACCGTTGGTTACCCTCCCAACCTATTACCCTACTTCATTTTTATCACTGAAATTATTACTCTGTTACAGTATCTTGTTTTTGTTTATTTTTTGGTACTTGGAATTGACCCTAGGGGCACTTTACCACTGAGCTACATCTCCAGCCTTTTTATTTTTTCAGACCTCACTTTGTTGCTTAGGGCCTTGCTAAGTTGTTAAGGCCTCAAATTTGCAGTCCTCCTGTCTCAACCTCCTGGGTCACTGGAATTATAGGCATGCATCACTGCACCAGCCTTCTGCAGTATCTTGTCTGTTTATTTGTTTGTATAATTAGTTGTGGCCTGACTCTGTCAATTGGTATGTAAGCTCCAGCGAAGTCTGCTAGTTCACGGTTTTCTTTCTCATAAGAGAGATATGACAACAAGGGACTTGCCCCTCCAGCCACAAGTATTAGGGCTTCAGGATGATTAGGGAATTGTCCCTTTCATAAGAAGCTCCCACTTGATAGAGTGGACACATCAACATGTGTGTGTGTGTATTTTGGTGCTGGGGATTGAACCCAGGGGCACTTAACCACCAAGCCACATCGCCAGTCTCTTTTTTTTTTTTTTGTATTTTATTTAGAGACAGGGTCTCAGGGTTTCAGGGTCTCACTTCGGCTGGCTTTGAACTTGAAATCCTCTTGCCTCAGCCTCCCGAGCCACTGAGATTACAGGCGGGCAGGATGACCCCGCTCAGCCCAACAGATAATACTCCAGAAAGGAGTAACAATGTAATAGCTACTTGTCCCCCGCATTTCATAAGCTACTGCCTGGCCTCTGGGGAACTCACCTGTGGATGCATCGGTCTGGGCAGAGCTCAGCCTCATAGAAGCCATCCCGGCAGTCCTTTCCCACAAGCTCATGGGGATGAGGGCGGTGAGGGGGGTCCTTGGTGACCAGGGAGATGCGAACTGTCCCTGGTCCTGTATACCCATTGATCTGTCCAAAGTACAGAACATATTTTCGTGGCCCATTAATTCCAAACCTGGCTCCTAGACGCAGTGGCAAGTCTGCTGGGGGCTTCACAGTCCTTTCCACCTCACCTGCACCCCCACCCAGCCCTGGGGTAGTGCTGACCTTAATGGTGGGGTGGGTCTTAGTGGTCTCCGTGCTTCTCTCTCCTGGGATACTGCCCGCTGACCGGCCCTCACACTTATAGCGGAAGCGCATGCCCCGCTGCTTGGGCTGCTCGATGATCTCCACATAAGGGCCAGAAGCCTGGGCTGGCTCTGCAGGAGACACAGCCAGCCGGTCTGGTGCTGCCCCTATGCCCCCTAATGCTGGGCAGACCCTCCCCAAGCCCTGCGGAAGGATGGCCCACTTACCTGAGGGGAAGATGAGGGGGAACAGGTCTGAAAGGGGAGGAGAAAAGGATCAGCACAAGCCCACTGCCCACCCTCACTGGCGAGGGCCTGCTGGAGCCAGCTCCCTCCCAGGGAAACTGAGTCAGGACTGGCTCCTACCACCTGCATTTAAACTTAAGTGCAGGTAAAGGAACCAGCACCACCTGCTTCCTGAGGGAAACGGTATGCAATCCTTCCTTCCCAAAGGGTAACTGAGTCGGGGCACTTCCCACCGCCCTCCCACGAAGAAAACTAAGGCACCGTCTTAAACGAAGTCAGACCTGCCCCAACGACCCTGGGGGGGACTGCGTCAGGACTCACCCCGCACCCCCGCCCTGGGAGGAGACTGAGTCAAGCCGTCACCCCCACAGAGGGGAAACTGAGTCAGACCCCTCTTCGCCCGCCCCGCCCC